CAGCAGCTGGGAAAGGGGTGAAGGGGTGGGGAGAGGGCTGCCAGGGTCTGTAAAGCCCCCACCACTGGGGCTATCCCTCTTCCCATGTGTTGTGTAGACCCTGGCTGGGGGCCTTTTCCCCTCCCCCCCACATGGGTTGACAGAGGCAGGCAGGAAACAGGCTAAAGAAGAGGGGGCAAAGCAGTCCTTGCTCCACTGAAGCAGGCAGCATAGCCCGGGGCTGCAAAGCATCCTGGGATGCAGGGGGACTGTGAGATAACTTGAACCAGGAAGGGATCTGGGACAGAAGTTCCATAAATCAGTTTGACCTAAACCAGTTGCATCCAACTAGGTTTATCGTAAAACGGTTTTAGTCATTTTGAAAGCAGTTTATGTGCACTGAACTTCTGTTCTGTTACAGGTTTAAGCCAGTTTCTGTTCATTTAAACTGATTTAGATGCAACTTCTGTCCCTAGCTCTGATTCCTTCCCTAATACGCTGCTAATTCTCCACTTCTGCTTTGTGGAACTGTGAATGCTGCAAACGAAAGGATTGTTTAAAAAGAGAAGTGCTTAGGTTGGAAGATTTGTAGTTTTTTAATGATATCCATGGTGCTCATTCTGCAGGTCCTTACAGCCATAGCTGTCTCTAATTTTAGCTAAATGAAATAAGAGACAGGGCCCAAAAAATAGCTTCAGGACTAAATCCTCCCTGAAAGGTAGGTGGTTTCATTTTTTGAAGTTTAAGTCTCTTTGATTTGCAGTTGGCCCTTTCTTTTGGTGTAGTAGGTCAGGCTAGGCCAAACTACACACCTGGAGGTAAACAACCAAACTCTGGAGTTGGCTAAATATCTCACTTCTTTAATAATGGATTCTTCAGAAAAATATCTGGGGAGCTGAAGGAGGAGCAATATTTTATTTCAGTGAGCTAAAGAACATTATAGTGCCTCCAGAATAAACAGCTTGCTAAAGAATCCAAATCTTCTTTGCATCCAGTTGTTGCTAACACTGACATACCAAGTATTATGGTCTTTCAGATTCTGGATTGGATAAAAGAGTAAGTGGGTGCATCTACACATACAATTAGCATGTAGCAATACGTTCCAGTTCATGCCAGAGTTGGCAGTTCATGCCAGAGTTTATTGCTCTCAGGCGCAGCATTTACATATGCGCCTAGGACCACAGTATGAGCTGGGGTGCAGCAGCCCAATCACTGTCTACATATGCGTTTCGGCACACAACTACTCTGCTGTAAGATAGTACTTGTCCTAGACAGTACTATCCTACAGCAGCATTAATTAATTTACCACACCGTAAAATGGGAACTTCTGTAGACAGTGATGATTTACTACAGAGCTAATTAGTCAGCTCTGCGGTAAAACACAGGTGTAAATGCACCCAGAGAAGCCTGAAACTTGACATTTACTTTTGGGAGTAGCAGTACTTGCTGCAATTATGTTTGAACTTTATAGTACTACAGTATTTCTCCACTGCCAAAGAAAGTGGTTTTGCTAAAGTTTCTGTAAGGCTTTTTCACCTTTCCACAGCACACAGAGGTTGGTATGAAGTTTACAGCAATAATATTCAGGGTAGATTTCATTTGAGTGTACTCAGTGTGCCAGATTCTGATATTTACAGGAGTAAAGTTGGAGCTGCTGCACTTATGTCATATTAAACATGTACAGTGCCAACATTGTTATCAACATACTCCAAAAATGGGGGTGGCTAAACACGTTACTGATTATTAATGGTTATAGAAGTAGACTTTGTTTCCCCTAAAAAAAGGGAACCATGGTGTCAGTCTTCTGAAAGGTGATGGCTTGGAAGGCCTGAAGATATCTTTATTCACAAATAGCAATTGCACTACTTACAGAACAAACTTACTGCACACTGCCTGATTTAATGTTGACCAGGAGACATCACCTGCAGGGCATACAAAGATATGGTTTAGAATCAGTCCTGATGAGTATCAAGACTTTTTCTTGAGGCTGTCAAAGTTGTCAGTTGTGTGGGTTGGTTCTAAGAGGTGGACAAAAATTCACAACTCACTCCACAATGTGTTGATTACGCAGAACCAATTTGGCTTTGTCTGAACTACCCCCAAAGTGTAGAACTTCTGTATCCAATTGCCAAGCCCCAGATCTATGTAGTTCCCATTTCCAAGTCTCTCTTGAATTGAGCACCAGTATTTACCACTACCAGGACAAGTTAATATAGCTCCCTTGAGATTGGGTTAGGGTTGCTTTTAGATTGTGAAGAAGGTGTTCCATCAATTTTGTGTAAAACTATTTCCTTTTCTCAAAAGTCCAAAGTATTCACTGATACAGAAAAGAGACTACAAACATAGTATGCTTTGTTCTACATTGAGACATTTACTTGAAGATATTTTCTTGTTTACTATGTTGTAAGGAACCCTTAAGCATTGCTTTATTAAAGGATATGCTGAAATGGAATCCAATACTATATGGTCAGGGTACTTGATTTTGTTTTTAAACATATGCTTCCCCCTTGCTCCCTCAATTACAACGTTGCAATATTTTGGTGCTAAAATAAAATAATTGGATTCTTTGAGCAACATGTGTCACTACTGATCTGGTGGTTCTATTTATGGTAATATGGATGTTACTTTATTTTTAATGAAAACAAGAAGGTTCAGCAGAAATTCTTCCTGAAAGTAATGGAAACATTTAGTTGAAAGTCATCACTGGACCCTGGCAGGGACATATTCTCTAGGGAGCAGGCAGTTTGTTCTCTTCTGTCTGTAGGGCTAGGGACAGAAATTACATATACACTGGTTTAAGTAATCAGAAACTGGTTTAAACCTCTAACAGAACAGAAGTGTAGTGCACATAAACCAGTTTCTAAATGGCTGAAGGGGTTTAAGATAAATCTGGTTGAATGTAGTATCAGACTTAACTGGTTTGGGTCAAACCAGTTTATGAAACTTCTGTCCCAGAGCCCTTCCTGGTTCAAGTTAAATCAGTCCCCCAGCATCCCAACATGCTTTCCAGCCCCGGGCTGGGCTAGGCTGAGCTGTCTGCTCCAGCAGAGAAGGGTTGGGGTGAAGGGAGGCAGGGACTTACCCCTCTCCCCAGGCAAACCCTGGCTGGTGTCTGGGGGAGTGAGGGTTAAACACCCCTTCCCCTGCTCGAATTTACTGCTAGCTGTGACTGTGGATTACAAATCCCATAGGCATCTGGAAGCAGCCCCTGCCTGTCCCTGGAGGCAGGAAGAGGAAGTGATGAGCCTCCCTGCAGAGTCTTGCTGCTGTGAGGCTGGACTGCAAATCCCTTGGGGGCAGCAGGAAGAGGAAGTGAACACACAGCCCATGCTGGTTATGTGCCAGAGAGCTGTGCTAGAGCACCCCCAGCTTCTGGCCTGAGCTACTGTAGGCATGTGGCTGCATTTTCCTGGATCAAAAATAAATGTGTGTCTAGTTTAATCTCTGCAGTTTAGACTAACCTGCAAAGAATGAACCAATTCAGCCTTGGGCTTTTTGACTGTCTTTACTTAGTCTAGGTGATCAGTAGGGAACCTAGTTTTCTGTTTGTCACGGAAAACCATGGATTTTTGTGCATTTAAACAGGTTGTTTTTTTTCTTTTTTCACGCAGAAAATTAGGATCCCTGGTGATCAGCCAGGCTTCTCCCATCTAGTACTCAGCTTCCATGTAGAGTTCAGAGTGCATCCTATAAGATTATATTTTTCCTGTAATAGTAATGAAAAGCCTCAGCCAGACTGCTACTCTGCAATACTAGACTGGATTTTTGACCAGTCAAAAATACACGGTCAATTAACCTGTTAAATATTGTCAAATAATTGCTAAGAATTTTAAGCATTAATTTATTAGAGCAGTAATGAGAGAGGCTTTAATCTTCATTAGGTTAGATAACTTTATGCTAATTACAAAAACAAACAAGTTAACTGTTACCTTGAAACAATGAAAAATCTAAAAAAATTGTAACGAATTATAACCAACAATGTTAGGTGAGTATAAATGTGAACAATGTTGACAACTGAACAGTTCTTCACCTTGGCTTTCATCCTAGAACTGCAGGGTGGGTGCACACAGTTGTAATACAAGAAGCAAAATAAGAAATAAACACGCAGTGTGAGAGACAAGTTGGGTTTTTCTATGCAGCTGGTTTAGGTTTCTCCCTAGGCACAGAGGAGCTCCTGCAGTCCCATGTGACTAATGGTGGGGAGGAAGCGGGAAGGGAAATGAGGCTGGAAGAGCTCAGGAGAGAAGTAGGGCTAGGGTACCTGCTCCTAAATGGACTGATAGTGGCAAGCACTGTAGTGGCAACTCGCACAGAGTACCGTACCTAGGCTCCTGGCGACCCCAGAAAAACTTTAGTATTGGGACCCCCCTTCGCCAGAGATAATGATAATTAAAAAATTACCATTTTCCAGCCCCCTTTCTGTCTGGGCCCCAGGCGACTGCCTGGTTCACCCATGCCTGTGTCTGGCCCTGCTCACATAGCACCTGCATAGTCCTGAACGTATTCAGAATGTTGCAAGATCAGGCCATATTATTTACTGTGTATTACAACAGCGCAAAGGAACCTTTGTCACAGATGTGCAAACCACCATGCAAAGGTAGAACTAACAGATATTCCCTAGCCCAAGAGTTTGCAGAAATAGGATCAAACACAGCCTGCACTTGGTGTAGCCAGCTCCACAGACTAAATCATATGCTATCACTTGTGTACAGCAAGCTTTTCTCATCTGGTTTGTGCTGCAAATATGTAGTCTAATGATGATGGAATAACAAAAGTGGCAAACACTTCATTGGGCTGGCTTACGTCTAATCTATCTCTTGATTTTTTGTTTAAGATGGGGGCAGGGGGAAGCACTTGACAAATGTAACAGTGTTATAACGACTACCAGTGATTTCATCCCTGCTCTGTTATTTACTCACTGGGCCCTTAGTAAGTTTACTTACCGAGAAATTCCATTAACTTCTGTGGTTCCTAAAGCTTTTGCGAGAAAAATCTGCAGAGCTGGGGATCAATATCTTGTTTGACTTAATGGCTATGGATGGCAGTTTGCAAATAATGTAACCAGTATTATTACCTCTTAAGGCAAGATTGGGTTTTTTTGCAATTGAAAACAGCTTCTTAGGAAGGATTGGGATTACTGTTGCTATTTATTAATTTTAAAAAAATATCCCTGCCCAATCAGAATTTGCATTTGGCAGTATTAATTCACATTTGCTGTTTAATATATTGACACAGTCATAAGAATCTTCATATGTCCGCATTTTATGTCAACATCCAGTGAGTCCTGTTGGATCCGGTTTACCTATTGGCCCATACAATGGGACAGTGGGGGCTAATCTTGATGGGTGTGCCACACATTAGCTCCCACTACTTCCTGACCTATGCTCCCTATCCAACCTGGTACTCTGCTTTTTGCTTCATTCCCTGTGTTCTCTGTCCCATCTGCTGCCCTATTTGCCACTGTGCTGTTTTTCTGGTCTGCTGCATGCTGTACACTGAAACCACCTGTGACACTTGTGACACGTGTTTCAGTTTGGCCACCCCTGCAATGGGTGATAACAGAAACATGCTGTCACAAAAGGAACTTGAGGTAGGTTTTGGAATTTGCTATGTACAGAATAAGCATTTTTGGATTTTCAAACTGATGTGATAAGCAGCCCTACGGGCAAACATCCTTTGATTTATATTCATGGCTCCACAGCAAATGCATAACCAAAGCTAAAATGTAGATTGCTCAATTGGGTATGTGGCTTTTCAGTAGATAAGCGCTTTTATGTTATTCTTACACTTACTGGCTCTTTCTGCTGTTACATTGATCCCAAAAGGCTGTCTTTGGTTTGTATCTTGTTTCAGGATGCAATCCCCTCCCCTCCCCCTGCCCGCCCCCCTGAATATGGAGCACATAGGAAAGAATAATGCTGCATGGCTCAAGCAATTCTGAACTCAGTGTCCTCCTTGATCTCTGAATACAGCTTCAATCTGACTGTTGAATAGATTCTCTTTTCCAAGCACTTGAGGCCATTCATGTAATGCCTTCTGCCAGAGAATTCCTGCTCCAAGTGCTGTAGCAATCTGCAAAGAGTGTATAGAAATATGGTCAGTTTCTTATTCTGCCTTTGCTGGTTGCTTTTATCCTGTGGTAGTGCTTTGAAGCCTCAGTTCTACTCAAGAGCCCTATTGCAAAAAGCACTGCACGATCACATAATGAAAAGATGGTCTATAGTCTCTTCCCACCCTGGGTTTGGAGAAAAGGAAACCTGAATTGGAGAAGTGACCCTTCCTTAGCAATGTTCTCTCTCCCCCTCTCTTTGTCTCTCTCTCTCTCTCTCTCTCTCCATCTCTCTCTTCCCCTTAGCACAGTTGGGCATGAGGCTACAGCCAGGCAGGAGCCAGGGGCCCAGTAGGCAGGACCCACCACGGGAGGGAGCACTGCACCACCATGGCTGCCAAGATGAGGCATGGCAGTAGCAGTGGGGAGTTGTGCGCCTACTGCTGCCAGGTGGGCAGGGTGTGCCTCACCTTGGTGGCCATGGTGGCACAGTTCTCCTTCCTGCACTGGGTTCTACCTGTTGGGTCATGGAGGTGGCTCCTGCCTGGAGCTGGTCCAGCCTGGATGTAGCCCCATATCTGACCATGGGCACAGAAATCTGGAGGGAGGGCACGTGCCCCTCCCACTCCCTCCGACATGTCGCCTGTGTCCTCCCACCCTTATAGACTTACCGACAAGGAGCTGCTCTCCACCACTGCCTGACTGCCACGTGCACATGCACATGCCATGGTATCCCCTGCGTCCTATTCCCCACAGCTCCTTGCAGGCTGGAACTCTGACAAATGGCAAACGGAAAACCCAGATTCCTGCTCATCAGGGCGAAAAGTAAAATATATTGCTTGAACACATGCAAGTGGTAAGTGGCACTCACTAAAGTCTTTGTTTTCTTATTTTTCCTTTTATGCAAATGTATATGTGGTATGGCAAAATAAATTGTCTGCAGTATTCAGGGATGTTTAAAAGTTGTCTTTCATTTACTTGTAGTGCTTCTGCATTGTCAATTTTCTGTTAAAACATCTGGGGCTGATCCAACCCCTCCCCCTACCCCAAGCTGCTCAACAGGCATTCCTCCAGAATTTAGAAGCACAGGAAGTCCTCATAGCTAAAGGGATTTGTATTTCTAAATCTCTTGGGTACTTTTGACAACTTTTACTTCCAGCTAAAGTCCATGGAACCTGCACATGCTCAGCACCTCTTTTATAGTTTCATAGTTTCTAGGGTCGGAAGGGAC